TCTCTCCATGCCTCTGTTTCCTCTCCAAGTGCCTGAGGATGTTTCTAATCTGCTGTGGGATAAAATGGAGAGAGTCCCTCATGCCTGTCAAAAGAGTTGGAGTTTTCACCAGTCCTTTCTGCTCCTTAAATCTCATCAGTGAATGATAATAATGAATAACTAAAAATCAGTAGCTTAATTTTAGAGCCCTGTGTGTGGGATAGCACCAAATCCTGCCCACAGAAACCAGGATTTCTTGGAAGCTGCCTTAAATCAGAGGCTGAAATCAGAGTGCAGGTGTGGAGTCTCTTCCTCAGGCTTTCACAAGGCAAAGCAAGACATTTTGGGGAGGTTTTTGTTGGATGTGGGTTGGTGCTGGCATCTGGGCAAGGCAGCAAACCTCTGGATTTGTAGTGCACCAGGAGTGGGTTGGTGTTGCTGCATTTCAAGGGAGAATTGTAGGAGTTCAGGAACAAGCTCCAGGCAATTCCCCCACGCTGGGGAAGAGAGATTGTCTTTAAGGACATGTGAGAAGCCACCACTGAAAAATTAAGTGAATCATCAAGTGCATCTTGTGACCCAGACTGAGCACCCGTGTCCCTCCCTCAGGAGAACGTGTGGGTACAGGAGTCAGTGGATCTCTGGGGAAGGGAACTTCTCAGTGGCTTTGCTCTTTGCTGAAGGTTGTTTCTGTGTTTGTCACAGAGTCCCAGGATGGTTTGGGTTGGAAAGGACCTTAAAGACCATCTAGTTCCAACCCCCTGCCATGGGCAGAGACTTTTCCAGTGGGAGGTGGAGCTTTGTCACAGCGGGAGCTTTATGGGTGGTACCTGAATTGTGCTGCTCGTGGGACAGTCACACATGATCCATTTCCACACCTTCCAGCGTGGCTTTGCCAGCCTCTAGCAGGAGGCAGCAGGTCCCTGCTCCACCCCAGGGACCCAAAGCACATTTGGAGAAACTGTTGAGCAAGAGCAGAGCCCCACTTTGGGCCCAGGGGAGTCCCGTGAGGTTCCCCCACGGCCGCAGGGGGACACACCAACCCCCCCAGTGCACACTGACCCCTTCGCTGTGTGCTGTGTCCCCAGTAAAGGTGCTGTGCAGGCTGTGCAGGCCCAGAACCAGATCTGTGTCCTTGACATCGACATCCAGGGCGTGAAGAACATCAAGAAGACCGAGCTGAACCCCATCTACATCTCGGTGCAGCCGCCGTCCATTGACATCCTGGTGAGCGCCCGCCTTGCTTTGCCGTTAGGCAGTTAGAGGTAATCAGCTCTTGCTCTGCAGATGGGGGGGGGGCTCACCCCTCCTTCATCCATCTCCGTGTTCCTAAGGGCCCTGGAATAGGTGGGGAGGACATTCCCAAGCAGGCAGATCAGCTCCTCAGCCTCTGGCTCTCAGGGATAAATCTTCCCGCGTTTTTTGAGTCCCTCCCGCGTGTTTTCCGCACCTCGGCGTGTTTGCCTGTGCTGGGTTATGGGCTCCATCACAGTCCTTCAGTTGGGCTTCATGCTGGGGAGAGAGGGATTTTGTGCTGAGATTTGCCTCCACAGTTAAAATGAAACTCGTGGAGGATGGTTTTGTGCAGCCCCATAAGTTCTGTGCCCCATAAATTCTGTACCCCATAAATTCTGTACCCCTCTGGTCTTGCCCCATGGAAGTGATTGCAGTGGGACTCTGCAGAAGTGGAGTCACTGTCGTGGTTCAGAGAGGGATGAGGACACGTGAGCACAACCCCTGACTCTCCCCTCTTGCTCTCAGTACATCAGGCAGTCTCTGGTTCTCGTTGAGCTTGAGGAGGAGGAAGCCAACAGCACCACGTGGCCAGAGCCCAGCAGAGAGATTTCATTTCCAGCAGTACCTGGAAAAATAAATAAATAAGAGGGAGGTAAAAAAAAAAAAACCCAAACCCTGGGACCCCGAGCTCCAGGTAGGAGATGCTGAGCCCAGTTTGGCCACTGGTTTGCACTGGGCTGTAAATGAGGGTGCAGGGTATTCTCACGTGCCCGTGGTCACAGACAGCCCTGGCCTGAGGGGGTGGGTGGTGATTTCTGCCTGCAGCTTTCAGAACACTTTATTTTTTTTAACACATTTTTCACTGTGTTTAGGAAAAAAGGCTACGAGACCGAAAGACTGAGACAGAGGAGAGTTTACTGAAGCGTTTGACTGCAGCCCGTGTGGACTTGGAGCTTAGTAAGTCCTTGGAGTGGTGTGAGATGGAGAGGGGATGATGCCTTGGTGATTCAGGGGCTGGTTTTTGCAGGAATATCTGACTGATGCTCTCCAGAGCCAACTCTGATGGAAGCACTTGATGCCTTTCCCACTGCAGCTCCCTGTGGGTGGTTGGCAGAGCAGTGGCTGAAATAATATTGCCAAATAACACGAAAATGCCACAGGACTTTGGGTTGAGCACAAGAGGTGACCCAGGGAAAAAACATCCTCCTGTAACTCTTGTCCTTGTCTCCTTCCCCAGGTAAAGAGCCTGGGCTGTTTGACCTGGTCATTATTAATGATGATCTAGAAAAAGCCTATTCTGAATTGAAGGAAGTGCTGCTGGAGGTGAGTCTTTGGAGCTTTTCCACCTCATTCCCGAGTTTTTCTTCTTGTCACCTCTGGGACAGGAAAGTGAGGGTCTGTCCTCAGGTAGCCCCAGGAATGTCACCTCATCCCACACTTGGTCTGGGTTGAGGGATGTGACTGAGCACAGCTCATGGATGATGGATCTAGGGCCTAAAAGTGGGAAATGAGTCCAGCACAGTCCTGGGTTAGGGAGAAAATAAAGACACATTCCTGGGTGGTATAGAAGAGGATTCCTATTTTTGGAACCTCCAAGTCAAACCTCACCTTGTCCCTGAAGGTGAACTCTGGGCTCAGTCCTCTGATCTGAGTCACTCCCGACCTCCAGAGCTCTGAAACCAAGAGTTTTACCCAAAAAATGGCAGATTCTCAGTGGTTTTCCTGCTCTCCTTGCAGGAAATCAAGAAGACCCAAGAATCCAGGAAGTCCTGAGCTGAGCTGACCCTGCTTGGACACTTCAATTTTGCACATCATTCCCGAAGCATGTCGCACGGCTTTATTCCAAAAGACATTCCCTTTAGGCTGCTCCTCCTCCCAAGTTTCCCTAGGATGTTTATATTAAAAGGAAAGAAAAGGAAACCTGGTCGTGCTCGTGTTTCTCTTCGCCGCACGTGCTCTCCCAGGTTTGTACCTCCGGATCCTCTGGAAGCTGCCAAAGGGGTAGAGCCCTTCTGGAAGGCTGTGGAGGAGCTCTTTGGGCACCTGCATCCCTGGCACGTGGCTTGGGATGCCACTGTGGTATCTGGGGAGGGACACGTTGTGCCAGCTGATGCCACTCCATAAAGGGGGAGCTATTTTATCATCAATCCACTGTTTGTTTGTTTGTTTGTTTGTTTTCTGGGATAAAAATCCTGTGAACTTCTCTGCTATCCCAGCAGCAGTCTTGGAATTCGCACGTTGTTCCACTTGAGTGGTAGATTTTTGGATGCTCTTACACGTGCAAGTTGGGGGGGGGAAAGATTTCCTTTTGGGCTGATGTGCTTGAGGGCAGCAATAAATCCCTTTTCCTGGAGGAATCCGTGGTATCCAGCCACTGTCACCCATGCTGGTCTTTGCTTTGAGACCTGGAGAACTTTCACTTCACTTCCCAAGTTTTTCTTCAGCCTTAATGTCGATGCTTTCATGGAACTCAAGGTGGGATTTCTGGGGTTGGCCTGTGTAGGGCGAGGGATTGGACTTTGATCTTTGTGGGTTCTTCCAGACTTGGGATATTCTGTGAACTTCCAAGGCCTTTGGTCCCTCCACCAGGTCAAATCCTGAGGGTCCTTGGAGGGGTTGGTTCCTCACGGAGGGTGAAGTGTGTGGAGCCAGACTGGGAGAGCTGAGGGGGTTCACCTGGAGAAGAGATGGATCCAGGGAGAGCTGAGAGCCCCTTGCAGGGCCTGAAGGGGCTCCAGGAGAGCTGGAGAGGGACTGGGGACAAGGGATGGAGGGACAGGACACAGGGAATGGCTTCAAACTGCCAGAGGGATATTGGGAAGGAGTTCTCCCCTGTGAGGGTGGGGAGGCCCTGGCACAGGTTGCCCAGAGAAGCTGTGGCTGCCTCTGGATCCCTGGAAGTGTCCAAGGCCAGGTTGGATGGGTCTTGGAGCAACCTGGGCTGGTGGAAGGTGTCCCTGCCCATGGCAGGGGGTTGGAATGACATGATCCTTAAGGTCCCTTGCAACCCAAACCATTCTGGAATTCCATCCTGTGAAATGACCAGTCCACCAGAGCTCCCAGCCCACCAGTGGTGACTTCCAGATGTTTTCCCCCCAAACCAATCCTGGATCCAGCTGGCACCGAGCAGCCCACGAGCAGCTGGACCAACAGTGCCAGGCTCTCAGTTCCTCACCCCCAAACCACATCTTACCATGGCAGGTTTGTGCTTTAACCCTCCAGTTTTGGGTTTCATCCTCTTCATATCCCATCCTTCCAGTTTATCCAGCTGCTCTGAGGTACTTTTTGATCCAGCTCACTCCAAAGCTCTATGTTCTGGACAACAACAAGCAGGACCCCACCCTGGGCAACCCTTTTAGCCCCTCACTTGCCTTCACAAACGTGATTTGAGGGTTGTTTTGACCATTTACCTCTCTTGGACTGTTAAATACATGTTTCCTAGATTCCCTAGGAATATTCCTTCCTCTTGTGGGTGTCCTGTTGCTTGGTTCTAACTCTGGTAAAACAAGCAGGAAAATCCCGTGTGGATTCTCTGTGTCCAGGCTCTTCCTGCGCCATCAAGTGATGGACCGGGGTTATTTTTTTATTCCTGAACCGCGGGATTTTGTTAGAATTTGAGGGACGTGTTTGCAATGGGAAAAGGTCCCCTCTAGATGGCAGATGTGACAGCGGGAAAGCGCCGGGATCAGGGATCGGAGCCACGGAGCAGCAGAGCCGGAGGTGCAGGACACGGCGCTGGGCTCAGTCTGGTGAGCTCCGGCCACCCCGTGGGACCCGCGGTGCCGACACCACATGGAAATGCCCATTCCCTGCCTGCTGATCCCTCCTGCCAGCACCTCCAGCCCAACCTTCACCCATCCCAGCGGGAGAGGTGAGTGGTTCCCGGGAAACGGGGATGATGCTCCAGCCTTGTGGCAGCGCTTGGAAAATGGAAACAAGACAAGTCGTGCAGACCCCTCGCGTTCCCCTTCCCTGTGGGAAGGGAGAGAGAAGTCTGGAATAACCTGGCTTGTTTTGGGTGACCTGCTTTGGCTGCTGTGTGTGACGGAGCCGAGCAGGGAACGCCTGGATGGCCGGGGCTAACGGGAGGTGACGGGATGGCCGTCGGGATGGGGATGGGCAGCGGAGGGATTGGGAGCGGGTGGTGGAGCCAGGCTGGTCACCGAGCAGGTGGAACGGCTGGGGGGCATCCCAGGGACTCATTTTGGGTGCTGGCAGTACCCCTCTCCAGGTCGGGGGCCCCTCTCTAAGAGGGGCATCAGATCCCAAAACCGGGTGGGCAAAGGTACTTGTTGAAATGAGTTTAATTCCTGTGTCCTGAGAAAAATGAGAGTTTGTTTTATTACTTACGTTTGAAACCATAAATACCTTTTGGGATCCGTGTTTTTGATATTGGCTCGTTGGTATTCCATTCCCACATCCCAAGGACCACGCTGGGCAGTTGTGGCAGCTCCCAAACTCTGGGTTCTCCACAGCTGCTCCTGGTGCTCAGTGTGGAGCTGGGATTGAGGGATCAGACTGGCAAAGCGAAGGATCAGGAGCCTCCCTGCCCAGGGGTTATTTGTGATTTAAGATGCTCCTCCTGGAGGACACTTTCTCCCACCCAGGGCACCTTCCAGGCAGGGAGGTGCTGTTCCCATCTCGGGGCACACCCAGGTAAAGGAACAGGCCCTGCTCCTGGGTTGCTTCCAGAAATGTCAGAAAAAGGGATTTTATGTAACTGTATATTCACTGTTCTGTCAGACTGGGATAAAACTGGACAGGCTTCAGCTCTTTTCAGCTCTGAGATGTTTCGGGAAACGTGGCAGCACCTCATCCTACATCCCTGCAGGAGGAGGATGGAGAAGGGTGCTGGGGATTGTACGAGGAGCCACACCAGGGAAAAAGCTGGGATAAAACCTACCCTGGGAGCTCTCCCTGGCTGGGCTGGGGGTCACTTGGAGCTGATGGCAAAAAAAGAACAACCCCCTGTAGCACTTTTGCTTCAAAGCTGTTGCTTTGCAGTCGTTGCCTTGTGGGTTTTTGCTGAATCTGGGCTGACACCACTTTTGGGGCAGGAACTGATCATTTTTCCCTGATTTTTTTTTTTTTTGTATCATTTTTCCTGCCCATCCAAGCCCTTTGGCAATAGAAACACCTCTCCAAGGAGAGAACGTGGGACTGGGATGCACCAAGAGCCTGCTGGGAAGGATGTTGTGTGGGGATACACGAGGGCAGGCAATCCCTAAAGCCCAAACCATCCCGGGGGAAGCCAGGAAAAGCTGGAGGCACATTCCAGGACAGCTTCAAGCAGCCCAAATTAGCCCAAATTAGCCCAAAGCCCCCACCCTGATGAACCCACGGTCCAGAGACTTGTCCTTGCCGTGGTTTTTCTTGGCATCTCAGTGCTGTTGGAGGCAGCTCTGATTTCCAGGCTCCCTTCCTTCCATGCCAGTGCAGAAAGGCACCGCGGGGCAGAGCCAGCCTGGGAAATAATTGGGCAGCCGGCGTGGAAAATGAGCAACGAGGGGAGAAAACGGAGCGGGAATAACCCTGATTTTCCCGCTTGTCCGTCAGTGTCCGGCTCCCTCTGTGCCTGTTCCCAGCAAGGAGCATCCCAGGTGTGGAAGTGTGGTGGGATGGGCTCGTGTTGGTGCTCAGGGATGGTGTGTCATGGGCAGGGCTGTGCCTGCAGTGATCCCAGTGCTGTCCTAGGATTTCCTGGGAGAAAAAACTTCCTGGAGAGGGTGTTCAGCTCTCAGTGGGGTCGGTGCTGCCTGGCCCCGAGTCCAAGGGGCTCCAAGGGTGCAAATTCCCACCTCTTTTGGCAAAAACTGGGGTTTTTTCTGCTCTATCCACTCTGATGGAAACCTCTCCTAGGGAATCCTCCGGTTCCTGTGTGGCCTCAAACAGGAGCTGAGAGGTTTAATCCAGGGAATTTGGGTGCCATCCCTCTCCCTGGGGTCGCAGCGAAGCCACAGGGTGAGACCTGCTGGTGCTCCCTGATCAGTCACAGTGCAAAATCCTCTGGCATCATCCCAGAGCGGATGAGGAGCAATGGAACCTGTGGGAGCAGAAGGAGGTGGGCTTGGAATGGCTTTCCCAAGATGAGGAATCCAGCCATGGTGGATTGTGGGCTTTTTTTTTTTTTTTTAAGGGGGCTGCAGCTGGGATGGGTCTTGTGCCGGGTGGTGTGATTTGTGCCAGAGCTCCAGGAGGGTTTGGATGATCCTCTGGGACACGGGGTGTGACCCCCGGGGATGGGCCTGTGCAGGGCTGAGGGTTGGACTCCGTGATCCTTGTGGGTTCTTCCAACTCTGTGCCATGCCGGGTGTCCTGATGCCCTTTGTGCTTTCCCCCAGGACAGGGAGGTGACATCCACGTGCCAGCTGCTGCCACCTCGCCCTGAGACACCCCCAGCACCGACAACAGGTAGGTCCCACAATCCCACCCAGCCCATCACCCTCCCGGGGCATCCCTGATCCACGTGGCACTCAAACAGCTCCGTGCCAGCACCCTTCATCCAGGAGCTCCTCCAGGGCTTTTCCCTGACGGCCTTGCTGCCGGGAAGGACGTCGTGTGGAAGGATGGAGTTTCCTCTCCGGCACAGGGCGTTGGGGAGAATCCCGACGCCCCGGATGCACCAGGGTGCTTGTAGGGTGCTCCACGAGGATCAGAGCCGCCCTGGCAGCTGGACCAGGCCGTGCCAGCCTTGTATTTGGGTCAGCCACATCGACTGGATGTGCAACTGTGTCATCCCTGGAGAGCGGGGGACGCCGATCCATAATCCCGGCCGGCTCCGGATGGGGTGACACGCACGGCCAAGCGCCGGCACCCACGCCCTGCTCCAGGTTTATCCACTCCCAGCCCCCAAAACTGGGGAATCCAGCGCAGCCTCAGCTTTTCCCAACAACAGCAGCTTGTCCCAGACGTGACTCCGGCCCTGCGAACACCAGGAGCCATCTGCAATTCCGATTGTGCCAGTTGCCACCGCAGGACGACTGGAACAACCGGATGCTTGTGAAATCAGGGATGCATCCTCCCCCCTCCTGGTGCCTGACTTCCCTCTGTCCGGGTGCAGAAAGAGGGAGCAACAGGATGTTTTCCCGGATTTTACTCTCCCCGTCTCCGGAGAAGCGTGGAGGGGATACAAAGAAGGGAGGCAGGAAAGGCAAAATTCCAGTATCCAGGTGGAGATTGGAAAATATATATATATGTGTATATATATTAACTTCCACATAGAGGGGGTTACTTCAATGGTTCATTTTAATGAATAAGACCCCTGGAGCTGGGTCCAAAGGGCACAGGGAAGGGCAGGGTGACTGTCCCCCCACAGTGCCCACGTCCTCAGCCCAGCACTAATTTTGCAGATATTCCCTGAAGGATCAGGGGCTGCTGCTCCTGTTTGCATCAAGGAAGTCTTGATGGAATATAAAGTGCCCTTGTGGTGGCAATCCAGCCCTAGGGGTGTCCTTGTCCCTCCAGCAGGGAGGTGATGGGGAAAAACTCCTCAAAAAGTTTTCCCAGTGCCCCCAGTTACACCAGCAATGTGCTGATGTGGATATACCGGGTCTAGGATGAGGAAAAGAGGGTGGCTTATCATTTTTCCTGGTTGGAAGTGCAGGATACTCGAGCTGCATCCCTTGTTCTGAACACAGTGGTGGTCCTGTGATGCCTCCTGGAGAGAGAAAACAACCCCCCAGCTCAGGTGCAGAGGGGGAACTGGTGGGATCCCAAACCAGTGGGATAATGTCCCTGCCTGGAGCACATCCGTGGGGTGGGAGTGTCTGTCAGACAGTTCCCCTGAGGAGGAGGGTGATCTCACCTGCTCCATTGATTCCATATCCCATTGGAATTATTGCAGTGGCTTGACCTGCAGACCCAGTGAGCCAGAATTTCCACGGTCATCCCGACCTCAGACCTGGGAACATCCCTTCTGCTCCCTCCTCCCAGTGCTGCCTGCACCCCCTGCCCACATTCCCAGGAGCAGCCTGGCTCCATCACAGCAGCATTCCCACATTTAATCTGCCTTCATAGATATAATTTTTATGTAATACTCCTTGTTTTATGCCCTCCCAAGTCCAGGTGCTGCTGCTCCTTGGGGCCATCCCCCTCCTGTGGTGGCACCTCTGGGCTCATTGCTGGGTTTATTGCTGAAATCCAACCTCATCCCCCTTGTCCTGTGGGGAAAAAAAATGTCACCAGTCTTCTTGCAGTAGCTCCTGGTGTTTCCAAAGACAGGCAGGGTTTTCCCTGGTGCCTTCCCATTTCCTTGGCTGCTGCAGATGGGCCCTGGGGCCACTGAGAACATTTTGGCTTTGTTTTCTTGCCACCTTCCCATTTAATAATTGTGTTTATCAAAAAGGTCTCCCTGCTCATCACCAGCCTGACCAGACCTGACTCACCTGCCCTCCAGCCCAGAGAAGCTGTGACTGCCCCATCCCTGGAAGTGTCCAAGGCCAGGTTGGATGGGGCTTGGAGCAACCTGGGCTAGTGGGAGGTGTCCCTGCCCATGGCAGGGGGTTGGAATGAGATGATCTTTAAGGTCCCTTCCCACCCAAACCATTCCATGATTCTGTGATCTCAGTGGGCACCTCCAGACCCTCTCCAGCTCCTCCGTGTGCTCCTCCCATGGATGCAGCTTCCAGATGAAAAGTCCCTGGAAGGATCCCAACAAAATACCACTGGGAGCTGTTAACACCCCTCCTCAACCCCATCCTCCCACCACCTCTGTACCCCTGATGTATTTGATCCAAGATCCCATCTCCTTCCTCTGTTGGAGGAACCTCTCCCCGGGCAGCAGCGCGGCGGCGTTGGCAAGGGAAAAACAGGATCCCTCCTGCCCTGGGAGGAAAACAAAAGGGAATCAAAGCCTCCTGCTCCTCTCCAGCGGTAGGAGGAAGCCTTTTAGGAGCTCTCAGAGGAGTAGAAGCTTCACCCTGTGCCATCACACATAGGAGCTGCAGCTCTGGGGTGGGACAATGGTGCCATTGAGCAGGACACTGAAACGCTGCCGTATTGTGCCTGGCAGAGAGATTCCCGGGAATAATCGCCTCCTCCTTGGCTTTGTTGCAGGGCTCTGCTGGTCCTGCTGCAGGGCTTTCTCCCCACGGAGGTCTCTGGTTATGTGGTGAAGACCCTCAGCCCAGAGGCACCTTTTTTCCTGGCTGGGAAAGGTATGGCTGGAATTGTCATTCCCGAGCGGGATGGGACCCTGGGGGTGGCACTGGGTGGGAGAAACTGGGGATTTGGGAGCAAAAGGATGCTCTGCTCCTCATCCCGGGAGGGCCTCGTCACTCCTTCATTAATCCTTGTTATATATTGTATATATTATATTGTATATATCATATTGTATATATATCATATTGTGTATATATTATATTGCATATATATTATATTGCATATATAGTATATTGCATATATAGTAATTTTTAGATATCATTTTTTAGATATCATATTTTTTAGACATCAAATTTTTTAGATACCATATTTTTTAGAGACCCTTTTTTTTTTAGGCATCCCATAAAAAGTCAACGTCGAGGGCAGCGAAAATGATCTTATTTCTTTTTATACAGAGCCTTTTGCATTAAATACGAGCTTAAGCCACAGAAACCCGGCTCTTCTTAGGGGTCTGGACAAATCCTGAAAAATTCAGAGCCAGGATTTTGCCTGGGACAATTTTAAACAAGGCTGAATGAGACTTCGCTCTGGGTCTGATACAAAGCGGGGCTGAGAATTTTTTAGGGGCATATTTAAGGGTTTTTTCGAGCTGGGCACCTCCAAAAAGCATCTCCCTACATGTTTTCTGGTGAGAGTGTTTTCCTTGCCCCAAAATCTGCTCGAAATCCTGGGATTTGGGCTGAGCTTTGGGCTTGTGAGCGTGTCAAGGGCAGCAGCAGCTGCAGGAGCAAGTGCTGTGGTGATGTCTCCCTTCTCCCTCCTCTTCCTCTATCCCTGGAGCATCCTATGAGCTGATTTCCTCTTGAAAATTCCTTCTGGGAACACATTCCCCCCCTGCCTGGTCAGCCAGGCTGTTTCCCAGCTTGTTCCTTGCCTAAAGCAGCTGGAGAGCAGAAACCCACTTGAAAAAAAACTGAAATAAGAGCCTGAAAACTTGGCTTCCCCATCCCAGGAGAAGAGGACATCTCTCAAAAATCCTTTTAAACCAGGAAAAAACAACTTACTTTGAGCAGTTTCATATGGTGGGAGCTACTTAAGACACGCTGAGGGTCATGTAGGATCAGGAGGTTGGAGAACCACGAGATTTTTGGAGGTTTAGAGTCTTCTTCACGCTGGATTTGCCAAGAGTTAGGCTTTTCTTTAGGTGCAGTGAGTAAAACTCCTCTGGTTTGGACCCCTGGAAGCCAAATCTCACCTCCCAACACGGGGCCTTTAAGGAAAACATCAATTTTTGTGAGATCAGCCATAAAATCATCTGAGTTGGCAACGGGAAGGAACAGCCAGTGATGTGCCAGAGGTTGTTGCCTCTGGATGGGGGAAGTTATTTAATCCCTGGGTTCGAGTGAGGGGCAACATCCCTGCTCCCCCTGCAACCAGAGACCTGCACAGGGGGGAAAAAAATCCCTCTGGCAGGGAGCAGGAAGGGCTGGGAGAGGAGGGAAATGTCCCCTCTGTCCCCTGCCAGCTGTTTTCCCTTCCAGCTGTTACCCACAGAGCCCAGCAGTGCTTCCAGCTGTCCCCCCTTCCCTCCAAAACAGGGCTGGGAAGGGAAAAGAGGGATGAAGAGGAGCTGGGATGGTGGTGCTGGCAAGGAGCCTCTTGTTAAATACTAGTTAAATATTTTTAGTATTTAACTAAAAATTTAACTGCAAAGTAAAACCAAAATGTTTTGGCTCTGCTTCGGACGTGAAAACTGGGGGGGAAAACAGGTTTTTTGGTGGTGCTGGAGCCTGTCACTGCAGCTGTGAGGACAGGGTGGGTTTGCAGCCGATTTTCTGCTCGGCTTCAGTGCTGTTGGAACAGAAAGGCAAAGAAATTCCAAACAAGAAGGAAGCATTTCTTATCCTGCTGCAGCACCTCCGCTTCCCTGCTCCAAGGAGCTCTTCCCGCTATTTTTAGCCCTAAACCTTTGGACTATTTGAATTATTCGATTTTTTTTTTTCCATAAGTGTTGGCTCTGGAAGTATTCACCATATTCCCTTTTTTTTTTTTTTTTTTAATGGGATTTTTTTTTGGGGGGGGTGCTTGGAAGGAGATTCAAGAAACAAAAGGAAATTAAGGAATCCTTGTCGTCCCGCGGTTTGCAGAGGATCCAGAGGATCTCCCCAGTGGAGGTCTCCACGTCACCATCTCCAGGCTGGAGCAGCGGGAAGAGCCCGGGTTCAAAGGGGTGTGGGAGGGAGGAGAAGCGTCGGGAGCTCTGCCCGCGGCACCCGGCAGGGACAGGGATCCACAGCCAGCCAGGATGGGACGGTTTTGGGAAGGACTGAGCCCGGAGATTCTCTGTATGTTACTTTTCAGTTTGTTTTATTTCGTTCCCCCCCCCCCCCTTCCCTACTTTATTTAGTTAATGAGTTTTTTAGCTTGACTGATTCCCAGCACTCCACAGATCCCCTCCCTCTGCTTCAACCCCGCTCTGCTCCCACCCTGCTCCTCATTTTCTGCCGTTTTCCCGTCGTTTTGGGTAGGAAATGTGCTCGTTGTGACTTGATATTCGTGTCCTGCCTTTCCTGCCGCTGGTGAGAGCCTCAACATCCCTATTTGGCAGCAGTTTGTGCTCTTGGTCGGTGTAAATCATCCCCCGGCACCCAGGGCACTGCAAATCCAGCTCCTGGGAGTTTGGGATTAAGCTGCCGGTGGTGGTTTAGCTTTTTCCTCATGGAAAAAGGAAGGAATTCTTGGCTGGGAGGGTGGGGAGGCCCTGGCACAGGTTGCCCAGAGAAGCTGTGGCTGCCCCTGGATCCCTGGAAGTGTCCAAGGCCAGGCTGGAGCAACCTGGGATGGTGGGAGGTGTCCCTGCCCATGGCAAGGGGTTGGAATGAGATGATCCTAACGGTCTTTTCCAATCCAAACCATTCTGGGATCCTGTGAAACCCCTCTGTGCTCTGGCACCTCCTGGCCTCTCCCTGCCCCAAACCTCCTTCCCCTCTCAGACCACCAGAGGTGGGGAGAGGAAGATACTTCAGGGTCTGGTTTTCCTGCTGGTCCTGGGTCACATTTCTGAGGTTTGTGCAAGTCTTTGGGTCTGTATCCTGCTTCCTTTGGGATCAGCAGCTTAGATCCCTTTGCTCCTGCATCACGAGGTCTTTAAGGAGGACTCTGGACACAGGAGCTCATCCCAGCAGAAGATGTGGATTTGCAGCTGCTGCCTCTAACCCACGGACAAAAGATCCACTGATCTTCTCTGTGAGGTGCTTTTGGATTGTTTTTAAACCAGACTTTCCATGCTTTTCATGCCCACATCCAAAAACACCTCACAAAGGATGTGTTCCCTCCTGTCAGCCGGGGAAACCGAGGCACGGGGAGCATCACCACCAGTGGGAGATGCACGTGCTCCTTGGTGGCCTCCTCTTCTTGGCCAACCAGCCCTTCCTTGAGAGAAAACTCTCCTCTTGGCTACTGAACACCCAGGATGCTCTTCTGGAGTGGGATCTCCAACTTGCATCCCCCATCCACACCTCAAAGTCCTGAGAAGAGCTTCATGTGGAGATGCTGCTGCGTTTTTGTCACCTTTATTAGTCCCATTCTTTTTAAATCTCTGAGATCTTCCTTGGGGTTAATGGGTGATCCTGAGCTATGTCCCTTCTACCTCCAGACCTCTGCAAACTTGGGTGCAACCAGCATTTGTCCAAAGGGTTTTCAGGAAAGGGGGGCTGGAAGGAGTTCCTGAGGCGTCCTTGGTCATGCCTGAGCAGGCATTTCTCTCTCTCCTGCTGGAAGCTCCATCTCCTCCCATCCCAAAGTGCCCTTTCCATCCATCCCAAGCACAGGAGCTTGGCTTAATGGATTGATTTGAGCTGTGCTTAATGGGAGAGTGTGTCCTCTCCCGGTGGGAGGCTGAGTAAACAACCCCATACCCCAACCTGAGGGACACAAAGAGTCTTAGGAGGCTACAGACATCATCTCCTTTCCCCCAGATTACCTTGGAATGCCACAGGAGGGCAATCTGTCCTGTGTCCAATGCCTCCTTAGGAAGCTGGAGGAAGGAAATCCATCCTAACCCAGCTCCAGTGAGTCACTGGCAGGTGGGAATGGGAGAAAGGGGGATGAGGCTGATGGGCAATCTGAGCCTTGTGCTCCTCCTGCGAGCTCTGAGAGCTATTTCTGAGACAATCCTTGGGTCTTGTCCAAGACCAAAATACCAGGAGACTTTTTTTATCAGTGTGTGTAAGAAGGAAACCCCTCCTTGCCCAGCAATCCACTGTGGAGGTGGAGCGGTATTCCTGCAGGTCCCGGCGCTGCCCAGGACTCTCCTCTCCTGTAATTCCGGGCTTGTTTGGAATTCTTCCACCCAGTGTTCATCCAACCAGCCCAGGGGTCATTTTTAAGGCTGCACAGCTGCCTTTGACCCGATTTGTTTCTTGGAAGTCGTGGTGAGCAACCATGTAAATCCACGTGGTTCCTGCTCCTCGGTGCCAGGAGAAGGAAAAATAAGGGAGCCTTGTGTGGGACTTCTGCACATCATCACTGCAACCTGGGGCTGCAGAAACAGAAGACAGGGAAAATGGAAGGAAAATGAGGAGCCCCATCCTATAAATGAATATAAATTGCTATTCCACCTCTAACTTTGCTGGAGCAGTTTGTTTCTCTCCCTGCCTCGGCCTTTTTTTTTTGGTGCTGTGGGTTGTCCCCTCACTGCTCTGGCTGCACCCTCAGAAGGTGGGGATCCCTTGTCCCAGCCTCAGGTGTGCCCTGAGCTGTCCCTAAGGAATGAGGTGACTTCACAAGGACGAGCCAAGCCCTAGAGCAGGTCAGCAGAGCTCCTCCAAGAGTTGCACGCCCTCCTCCATATTCTGACTTTTCCATCCTCTTGGGGAGGGTGGCAGCTTTTCCCGGTGGATGTGGAGATGTGGGAGATGCTGAGCAAGGTGGGGATCTCAGGGCTGAGTTGTGCAGTCACAGGACAGCAGAGGTGGAAGGCACCTCAGGTCAGGGAGCAAGGCCAGCTCTGATGTTGGATGGAGCTGCCCGGAGTCCTGTCCAGCTGTGTTGTCTC